GGGATAACTGTAAGGTCAAATACCTCCTCCACTCCTGTACAAGCCAAGCTCAAATACCATATAAAACAGAGCTGAGGTCCAAATTTAGAGGTTTTATGGACAGCAATCATGCTGTGGTTGTGGCTTAAAAAAACCAGTGTTTTCTTATTCTACCTGCTGTTCGTCTTGTTGGTTTGGCCCTTGAGGTGGCAGCAAGCTGGGACATGGGTCTGGACAAAAGTTTTAGTATTCCTTTGTCCTTCCTCGCTGAGAGGAGGCAGCTAATGTAGGTAGAAATTGATCTCTGCCCTCCTAGTGTCCTGGAGCAGACAAAGTCTAAGCAGCATATAAAATAGACCAAATCCCTCCCTGACTCAAATCTGCAAGTTAGTGGCATCAAACCACTTAGCCAAAAACTCAGTGATGCCTCAGAAGATTACAGTCATTTTAAAACTAGGTGGCTGTAGATTAGCTGATGCTTGAGTAGCCCTGCTTACTTCCTCCTGGCTTTCATCCAGCTTTTTGAAGGCATATTTTGAAGGCTTCCTCCTTGCCAGAGGAGGGAGGTTCTTCAGAGTGGCAATCCAAGAACTGGAGCTACTGCAGCCCTGTGGGGGTGGTGTGGGAACTGCCTTGCTCACCAAGGCAGCAGTGTTTTGTGCACCATTGCACCACTTACTCTTTTTTTGTGTGAAATATGAACTCAAATGTTATAATGAATCACCTCATTGAAGAGGAGTTTCAGATTCCCAACCCTTTTTTTCCTGGAGGCTTGGACATAAGGTCACATTGCAAAATCATCCAGCGTCACATTGATAGTGACACAAGGACATCATTTGTGGCTAACAAGAAATCTTACCAGGTCCAGTTCTCTCTTGGTGGTTCATTAGAAGGCAGAACAACAGTTAACTTGACCAAAGGAAAGCTCAGGATGCACAAGAGATACACATGTGCAGCATATTCACAGCTCATGTGAACACCAGACTCACACCAATACATGACATGGCAGCTTCATGCACAAATAACTAGGCTGGGCTTGGAGAGAGAACTTGTGATCACGGAGAAGAGAAAAAAGGAGTGTGTTAGAAAGAGTGTCACAGAAGCTGGGAGGGTGGTCTGTATTTTTGGTCTTACCATAGAGGAAGAGCATTGGGTATGTTCAGCTGGCTTTAAAGAAAGGCAGACAGAAATAAGCTGTAATAAGTCTCCAATCAAGAGCCCTAGTAAACTAGGTTTTGGCTAACACAGGAGCAACAAAATGGCAGAAGAGGGCAAAAGGGAATTTGAAAGAAATGCACAAGAGGCTGGGCTTATTCCCTAGGATGCCCAGGATCAAGCTGGCCGTGGCAGAAGTAGGTACAACTGCCTCTGAATTTGATGTAAGCTCTCTCCACTACCACCACATGTGAGTCACACCCAGTGTCTCCTGAGTGCTGGACACCCTGGCAGTGGAGGTACTGCACTGGTAAAATGTTTCTTGTATCAGCACTATGAGTTCAATACAGGGGCTGATTTAGCTGTCCAGCTCAGATCCAGGCCATGTCTGCACAGGGACCAGCCAGCTTCCAGTGCATCTGTCCGATTTGTAAACCCATTAATATCCCAGCGCTGAAGCAACACTTTATATATCCCCATTCCCTTACACACAGCTCTGGGTGAGGCAATGGGTTGGGAGAGTCTGACTGGCTCTTGGCAGCCCTACAACACCGAGCACCAGCTGTGGAATGTGGGCTGGTGCAGCTATTTCGCTTGCTCTGCCTTTACCCACCTCACAGCAAAGCCCTAGGCACTCAGTGGATGTGTTCTTGGAGGCCAGGCTGAGCTGAGCCCAGCCCTGGTCACGCCTGGAAGAGTCAATTGCTGCAGACACTCTGCCTGATATTAGTTGATTAACCTCTGGGGCCATTTCCAATACTGAGAGCAATTCTAAAATATACCCAAGGCTGCAAGTATCCTTAGGTGTAAGAAGCAGAATTGTAAATTAAATAAAACTGTCTTTATCAGGAGTCCTTCAGTTCAATAATAATGTCATCCTTCAGGCCTAACTTCTACCATATGCCAAACCTGTCTGCTAAAGTAGCATAAAGTGGAAACAGATGTATTTCCTCTTCTGCTAGTTTCAGAATTCCCCTCTAGTGCCATGGAAGGCTCCTGCAGATTGCTCCTGCTCTCCAAGGATTCTGCAGTAATCAAACTGGCACTGTATTACCTAAAAAACCCTGTAGTTTGGATGCACAGCCTATTTTGGTGAGATGGGCAAATGAGAGCAATTAAAAACCCAAGGTACAGCAACTCAATAATTTGGGTTAACTCATTGGTTTGGTAGTGTCAGCTTTCATTGCTTTCATCCTCCTCTTTCACATGTTTGCTCTTGTGTTTTCAGATCACATACAGGCAAAAGTTGGCTTGAATACCAAATGAAGAAGCAGTGCCCATAGAAACATTTCTTACAGGTCAGGCAGAGATTTTGATTTTGTGTTGCTAGGCAAACATCTTTCTAGCAAAGCATTTCTCTGTCCCTTCCTCATCCCCCTTCCTCTTTCTAATTCTGCAAATCACCTTTTCTAACAGTAGAAGGACCCTTATTCTGCTGCTTGCTGCATTCCTGGTAGAAGGTACAAAGGCCCTTCAAATAACTGAAAGCCTAAAAATTGTTGGGATTCTCCATCCTTCCTGGCTGATGGTGTCTGTGCATCTATGACAGCCTGAAGAAGCCTTTTGAAGTGTTGTGAGATATTGTGCTTTCATTGTCATTTCCTCTCCTATTCCCTGAGCTAACTGGGCTGTGTTTTAAGATGTGGTCAAAAATATACCAAATAATATCACTACGTATGGTAGAGGCTCAACAGCAGCACAGGGAAGGTTCTGCTAATGCTGGAGGTGGGATTTGTGCTAACTCTGGCACTGTGGGTGAGGTTCCTGCTATGCTTGTGCACAGTGTGTGAGTTCATGAGGGGAAAATCAACCCCCAGCTTTGGGTTGCTGAATACGTTTTTGGATATCCACAAAGGTTTCAGAAAGGAGACAAATCCTACCATCTGTGCCAATGGGGCACCCCATGGACCTGAGCACAGGTATCTGAGAAGCCATTACTGGAACTTTCAAGTGTGGCCATTCCAAGCTCTAAAGCTGAAAGAGCTACTGCTAGATTATCCAAAAATCTTCAGACTTGCCAGTGATGTGGAATGCCAATTTTAGGACAAGAACAGGCAACTGGCACCTGAGAACGTAGTGGTCACATCAGTTCCCTGAGATGGAGACATGGTGACAAGTACTTGGAATTAAAACCAGTGTCTATTGCCCATCTGAAGTGGACAGGATTTCATTTCTACAAATCTCAGAACAATGTGGAAAAACAAACCCTCATCTGCTTAATGTCTCTGAAAGAGCTTTTGGGGAAACTACAGCACTGAGCAGAAAGCACTGTTGGCTGTAGTGTTTCATTTGCAGCTGTCCCTGCTCCTGCATGGTGTTTAAGCTGCAGAGAAACTTCAATCCTTCTGTCCTGCCCTTCTCTTTTGGGGCATGAGTAATATGAACACACAGAATGAGAAAGGTCCACAGCAGGGAGATCAGTCAGAGGTGATGTTCTGAGAAGTTTCCCTTGTACAGAAGAGGGATCTGAAGTATAGATCACAAATGCAAGGCCATATTTAGAGTCGTATAGAAGGGAACCTGCAGACTGAGTGGGAAAAGAAATATCTGAAGCAGGGTGCACCTGTGTAAAGACACTCAGGGGGATGAGTGCAATGAGAACTGTTTGGGTATTTTTTTTTTTCTTTCTTATTATGTTTAAAAAGGCAATAGAGATGTTAAGGAGCAGAAGAGGCCAAGAAAGAGCAGAGAAGGTTCTAGAAGCCCAAGTAAAAATTCAGTAGGATAAAGACTGAGTGATCCCTGCCACATGTCTGAAAACCTCCTCAGGATATTGCTGCCTGCATACATCTCATTCATGCTTGGTGTGTACCAGAGCACCAGCTTTTTAAACAGATAAATTGCTTCAGTTGTTGCAAACCTGTGAGCGTTCTTAGAGCCCTTACAGGCACAAAAGAGGAAGACAAAGCTTGTGCCCATGATGAAGTCAGGATCCCAAGTAAGGACATCTCTGGGAGAGATGGGTTGTGCTTTGGAAGCTAGGAGAGGACAAAATTTGCTCTCCAGGAGAACCAGTCTCAATATTTCAAGAGCAGTATCTAACAGAGTCAATACAGTAGGATATTTATGCTGTAATGCAATCCATGAAATTCTGAAATTCGGAGAAGGGATGATATGGCTTTTCAGACCTGTAAAGACAGCAGCAAAAATATGAGCAAAAAGGCTTTGTATAGTCACAGTAGTATCAAAGTTCCCTGAAATATCCATGTCTTAGATTATCTTATGGATAAAGATTTGGTAGAAGACAAGAAAGTGTGTTAATAGGCAGATTCAAATGAAAGTTTCAGTAGGAAATTCCCAAGAAGAGATATTAATCCCACCTCATCCTTGTGGAACACTGGAGACAGAGGACCACGTTGGGAGATTTGAGCTCCTTTTGGCTGGTTTGCTGCCAGCTGTAATGGCTCTCCAGAGAAGCAGCACCTGGAAATGCCTGAAAGGGAGCTTCATTAGATCTGTACAGAATGTATTTAATTCATATAACCACAGAGGCTCCTCCACTGCTGGGTATCAGTATCAGTAGCTGTTCAGTAGCTGTTGAAGCTTGACTGCACTGAGATGACAGGACAGGCAGGCAGCATTCCCATTGCTGATGGTAGCAATTCTTTTACACCACAGAACACAATGAAGATGAGTTCAACTCCCTTGGAGGGCATCTAGCCTTTGCTAGGAAGTCCAAACTGATCTTTTTCCCAATGTTTGATGAGCAAAACTTCCTTGCTGATAGCTTTTTAGTTTCCAAGAACACTTTCATTCGTAGGGAGGAATCCCTTTTTTTGCAAGACATAATTCAACCTTTGTCTTAGGGAGAGCATTTAAGCAGCTGAATGCACAATGTTATAATTGCTTCACTGGAATTGTCTCAGTCAATGCAGAGGTACAACTGCAGCCTTCTAGTTATGCCTGATAGCCCTAGGTTAGAAGAGGTGAGAGGAAATGTGTGTTTCAGATGCTGGCACCGCAATATGACAGAGTAGCTTCATATTTCTCAGGAGAAGGGGTGGTCAGATGCTTATGCTGCCTTTTGTGATGAACAATCTGTAATGGCCTTTCTTCACCCAGGAGTCTATGGCTCATGGATGAAGCTTCTAGGAGCCCACTCAGAGCAGCTGGTTGCTGCTGATGGATGTCTGCTAAGGTATTTCCTTGATTGTTATTGAATTTGGAGAATGAGAAGTTACCAGTGAAGATGCCATACCTGCTGGAAATTTGGTCTCTCAGCCTTGTCCCATGACAAGGAATACATGATACACGTTCACTTCTTGCTATTTTCTCCTCACTGCAGGAAGGGTGTCTCTGAGAGTCTGCTCTGCAGAGCTTGCCTGAGCAGGCTAAAATGTTGTAGGATACCAGCCTTTTCTAGATCGAGGTCTTTGGACATAAAGGTCTCCTCCAAGAGTTCTACTTCAGCCATGCTGCATCTGTGACTTTGGACACCTGTGGCAGGAGACGTTCTGGGGAAATGAACTCATCAAAGCCATAAGTTGGATGTGGAGGGGAATTAAAGGCACACATTTGGCAATGACAAACCCCACTGCTTTTCTGGAGATGTTTCCTTCCCATGTGGTTACACTGAGATAGGACCTGCAAGGTTGTGAGTTTCAAGAATTTACCAAGGTATGGGAAATAAAAGAGGTTTAGAAGTGATGTGTGCCATAGAGACATGGCAAAATAAGACATCCTCTTGTAACTGGAGTGTCAAAAATCTGAAGTGACCTCAGGAGGCTGAGTTGCACGAGTCTTTGTGGAGAGCTGGAAAAAGTCAGGGCTTCAAATGAACCTGACTGCTGGCAGGTAAAAGTCTGCCATTCCACTGGGGAGTTACCACAGCCCCTTCCAGAGCCATCTGTCTGAGATTTTAATCACAAGAACCCTGGAGATGACCCACCAGCCACCAAAAGTCTGTGAGGTTATTATGAGGCCAGGCAGAAACGTATCTGGTATTTCTCTGACAGGCAATACTACTTGCAGATGGCATAATTGTAAATTCCCACAACCTCACAGTGAAATCAAAATATTACCAAGGGGAAACCATCTTCCCGCCCCCCCCCCCAAAAAAAAAACCAAACAAACCAAAAAACTCCCCCAAAAAACCTCCCCACAACAACAAATCAGAAAAGTTTCCCAAACTGTGAATTTTTCCTTTAAGTATGAAGCTCTTTGAAAATTTCTGGGAACATTTTGAATAAAACTAGCCAAAATTCTTATTTTTTCCCCTGCAAAAATATTTTCTGTTAGAAGAATGCTAATGCTGAAAGTCAAATGTTCTGTAGAAACATGCCAGTTCTGAAACAGGCATTTCAGAAATGTAAGGTTGAAATCTCACATTTTGTCCTCACACATTTTAATTTGGTTTTCATTTCCATTATAAATCATATATAACTGAGAAAAAAAAATCAATGCTAGATTAAACTGCTTTTACTTTACTTAAGCATATGTCTTGAATATTGATTATTTCAATAGAAATGATCTTTTACTGGAAGTTTTTCAACTTTAAATTTTCTTTCTATTTTAAAACAGAAAAAAAATGTTACAAGGGGCTTTTGGAAAGAAAAAAATCAAGCCTCCCTATATGTCTAATCTGGGTGAAGCACTAGAGGCTTTTCTGGATCATTTAATGCCAATTAGGAAAGGGCACCATCTTTCAGGAAAACAGGGACTTGAGGGGTGCAATATAACATGCTGATACTCAGACAGCTCTGCAGAGGAGACTGAACTCTCCTGCAGCAGGGAGTTAAAATTTCGTTTGTTGCAATGAGGGGAATTAGGGAAAATGTGACATCTGCAATGAGGTTTGCCATTACATTTCTGCCTGCATGGGGGCCAACAGACACCGAGTGTCAGCTCATCCAAATGCAATATAGATGCATTTATATTTCACTGATTCCAAATGATCTCAGACCTCTGGGGAAACATTACCATATCCCCATGCAACAAAAGCCCGTTTTGAATACAGTTAATAAGGGCAAGGTAACTTCTTAAGCAAATGAGTCCTGCAGCTATCAGTTTTTTCCCCTTCATTTCCTATGTATTCTAAGATTTTTAAATTCTGGAGCTTGCTTTTCTAATTAGCTTCTACTATGCAAATCATACCAATTTGAATAGCTTATTAATTAATTTCATATATGTATATCTCCATAAAATTGTCAGACAGAAGTCTTATGGTTCCAAGTACTTAAGGTAAATATAAGGAAAGTCAATTGCTTTTATTTGGTTATGCAGATTACCCTGTACTGACAATTAGAGGACAAGTAATGAAAGGGCTGCTTTTTCACACAGCTAAAAGCTCTATTTTTTCCCCATGACTTTCAGAAAAGCAGAACAATTGGTGAAGTATATCATGCAAATTATTCTTAATTTTTAAGATGTTTTAATAATCCTTCTCATTCGCTCTGGGAAATCAAGGCTTATGGTAATCAAGCCTGGGGGGCTCCTGAGAAAGAAGCAGATACTAACCACTATCAGAGATGTAGTGCCCATCTTCAGGTACACCTACTGGTCTGACTCAGAGAGGCATGTGCAGCTTGCCTGTGTTTTTTCATTTGTTCTGTGGGACAGGCAGCCAAAAGAAGCCCTAAGACATCTGGATGAAGAGGTGCTAAAGATGAATTGAGCCATGAAAATAATTTTTGAAAGGCTACATGTGTGCAGGACTTTTTGTTTCACAGGTGGAGTGGCTTTGAGGATCTTCTGTTCGAGTAAGAGAGGAGAGGTTTTGCTGATTTGAATGCCTCTGCCAGGAGCCATGTGTAATGGACTTTTTTTCATTAAACTTGGCTTTTCATTTGCCCAGTTCTTGATTCACAAGGCAATGGCTCCCAAAGGAGATGATCAGTCTGTCCCAGCCTGGGGACAGGGGGATGACCTTGGGAACAGAACAGAGCAAGATGTAGAGAGAGCAAGAGTGAGAATTCAGCTTTCCAGCTTTCCTCACTTCTATTACCATCCATGACAACAGTGTCCTAATTTCTGTTCCTGAGCAGTCCAATGTGCTTCACTGCATTTCCTAAGGCAAAGTTAATATGGCTTTTAAGCATCAAACTCAGCAGTGTATTTATCACTGTGCTGGAAAGGCCAGTCTTCTTTTCCTCCACCTCTTTAGAGAGATTTATGTTCTGAATTATGTTGTTCATAATTCTCTCCCCCTTTTTTTCATTGTCTGGGAGGGAAGAGGGAGAGAAACCTGTGGGACAGGTTTTCCAAAAGGAGCATAGCCTGTACCTGGTTTTCATTCTGAGTAACAGTTATTTTCAAATCCAGGTTGTCCCATCCCAAATGCCCAAATAAATCCATCACCTTGACTTCTTATCTGCAGCAGTGTTGTGAAAGCACAGCTGCTGTGGAGGGCTGCAAGCTGGGAGATGTTCTCTGATACACTTGGCCTGTTCAGACTCTTGTGTACAAAGACCATGACACTGATTTTGGTGTCTAAATAAAACAGAAGAAAAAGAGTGTTCAAAACATCCACACCAGTCCAAATAACTTTGTTGTGCACTGTATAAGACCTGATTTTTCCATTTCTTGTAGCATCCCACAGCATGCCTTGGAAATGAGAATGGCAACAGAGCTCTTCTCTGAGATGAACTTCCTGAGCCACTGATAGGCTTTGTGTCCAACACCTTGCAATGCTCCATTGGTACTGAGAGGGTGAGTGACATCTACAGGCTCCTTCTTCTCTGCAGACTGGTGCTTTGAGGAATTCAGCAAACTCCCAGAGGCATGTCCTTCTGCTGCCATGGCTGTGTTTGTCTTCTCTGCACTGGATGTTTGAGCACTTCTGCGGATATTTGTTAGTTATTTCTGAATTAGCTGATAGGATTTCATGGTGTGGGAAAAGGACAAGGAAGAAGGAAAAATGAAGAACAGAGTGAAGCCTGTATATTGTATTGGGTGTTTCTGGGGTTTCTCTGGTCAGCCTCAGGCTGAACAGAGGCAGGAGAGCTTTGGGCTTCGTAGGGTTCCAGAAGCACATGAATCCAGAAGGAAACTTCAGTAGCATCTTTGCTGTTCTGTACAAGTCCTGACTACACTGGTGTTAAGGTTGGAAGGAGGCCTGTGGTCTGCAGTAAAATCCCCACTCCTCAGCATAAATCTGGGGACTCTTGGAGCCAGAGAGAGACTGGACCAGGAGCAGGTTTTCCTGGGAAGGGAGGCAGGTAGGCTCCCAGCTGAAAGATTCCACATGCAGTGCTGCCAGGACCCATCCTTTGGGAAGCCCAAAGGCTCTGGGACGGTCTGAAGATGGATGAACCATCCTGTGCTCTGATGAAGGCTTTTAAAGAAACTGCACATGCTGGTGGAAGCAGGAGAAAACCCAATCCACCTTGGTTTCAAAGCAATAGGTCTGTGGATTGCAAGAGGCTCCAGATGACTGTAGGTGAACTATCAGCCCCTGTCAGTTTTGTGTAATTAATCTTTGCTCAAGGGAGGATATCCAGAGATACCAGCAGCTCAAACAGAGAGATTGTTATGAACCATTTTCATCTGAGATTTGTAGCAGCTAGTATTTAATTCCCAGTCTGTGTCTTTTCATTGCCTTTTAAATTAGAAAGTTATTTAATGTTGATGCAGAACATTTCCTAGGAAAAAAACAACCTACAGACTCATTGGATTTCCATATGATATTATGGGATACAATAAAGTCTGTATGTGTCATTCTGGGATTTGAAATGCCAATCACAGGCATTATCAGAAAACATTAGAAGTGGTCATATGGAGACTGGGAATAGATCTTACAAAGCTATTGGGCAAAATTTTCTTGCTCTACACATCTTTCCAAGAATAAATTATTATTGATTTGATGAATTATTTGATAAAAAAAAAAAAAAAAAACAAGGGTAAGGGCTGTTTAGATTATATTTAATGCTCACTGTGTGTGATTTACTGTGTTCAAGTATGGTCAAACAGTAGTCTCAAATTCCCTGTTTTTAAACATCAATTTGTTTTGATGTTTCCCTCTTAACAAGCACTTCTTTACAGCTGAGACAACTTTGCCTTCATGTCTGTTCATCTTATATAATGATGTCTGGCTTTGGATGAAGGAGCTTTTCCCCCAGCTACTCAGACAAGGCTCAGCAGGCAGCACTGCTGGCTGGTGCCTCACAGCTTCAAAGTGGACTTGGAGAGAACAACTGGGGTGTGACCAGCTGGGATGTCCCATTACTCTGCAACAGCAATTAGAGCCAAGTCACATTTTTTGGCCATCAATCAGCTGACCATAAGCTGATTCCAGTCTCCACAGCTTGGTCATCTGGCTGCAGCAGGGAATGGGTCCCATTTAGCAGAAGCCTGGGAAGATATATGAAGCAGAAGTGGTTTTGTTGGCATGTTGTGCCAGACAGTCTCCACAAAGAACAGATCAGGGAGCGAAGGTAAGAGCACAACCATTTAAAAACCAGATGTCTATTAAGAAATAATAAAAGAACCACCCCTCTTGTGTTTGCCTGGCTGGTGCATGAGAATGGAGAGGAAGCAAGGCAAGAGCTAAATGAGGGTGCTACATTGACTATATTAGAAAGGGTAAAATTAATTTATATGTGTTTACCTTTGATTAAAAATCTGGGTGAGCAGCAAAGTCCCCACAACTGGATGTGTATTTGATGGGAGGTCTGTACATTCGGGTTTGCAGACTGGTACCATCATCATGCTGAAAGGCTACCCAGTGCCTCGCACAAAAAACCCTCACCAAAAGGAGCAGCTCTTTCCCTGGACGGATGGGATCTTGGCTGAAGACAGAGAGGAAAATCTACTGCTACATAAGATAGAGGGGAACTTCCTACTGCCTTGCTGCAAATGTCTGCTGCCCAAGATTTCAGCAAAATTGGGAAAAAATCAGGGGGGAAAAGAAGATGGGGGAGAAGAGCAAGTTAAAGAGGAAAATAAGTAAAAAATGCTTGTGTTGTGTCTTCTCTTCTTCCGCCACCTCCATTGCTTTCATTGCAACTGGCAGTGCAGCCTGGTATGAGTTAGAATTTCTCTAAAAATGTACAAGATGGTGAATGCAGTGAGGTCTTGTAGCACTGATACTAAAAGCTCTTGTGATTTGCATGAAGAAGAGGAGCTTTTGCAGCAAAACTGAGTGAGTGAAATGCAGGAATTTGTGCCCTCTCTGTTACTGCAGCCTGTGTATGGAGAACAGCAACACTGGAAAATTCCTTGGGCATTCTCAGCAAGGTAGGTCTGAGAAAAAAAGAGAATTAAATGCCAGAAACATCTTTCACTGCTTCAGGGAATTGCCTAAGATGGCAGAACCAGCTGGATTTGAACTCATCTGAGCACCTTTTTGACCATCTAACTTAGGGTGCTTAGAGATCATTAACATTAATATATTTAGAGATGATCTAAAGAACCAAGAGTCAAGAAAAAAAATCAAGGGATTTCCCTGTGGATTCATATAAAGATACAATCTCTATTAGAGTTCAGGGAAAGTTAAAAGAAACTTCTGCTAGTAAAAGGAATGATTTATCCTGGCTAGCAAGCCAATGGAAAAAAAGAATCAGCCTGGGGCAGCTCTTTTAAATTTGAATGTTTTAATTAGCTTTGTGGAAAAACACATTGGAATTAAAACTAAAATGAAATATAACTGTAATATATCACAGAAGTTGATGCCAGAATAGTGTAGTGAGTTTTTTCTTCAAAGTACTGTGATAGAAAAATGACAAGTAAATATAAATACTGGTCAGAAAATGTGGATATAGGCTTTTTAAAGAGCTCTTTGTACTGCAATGAAGATGTCATACACTGATTTTTACTATTGAACCAACACAGGACAAGGTCTGTGGTTCTTTATGCTTCTACTATTAGCTTTTACTGTTATTGTAACAATAATTTACAGTCAAATAGGAAAATGGGACTTCTGCTCTAAAGGCCTTAAAACCCAGCAAGGCTTTGTGTATGTGCAAGCCTGCACTAATTAAAAGCACAATTCACTCCTCAGGGCAGTCAGTGAGATGCTGTGGACCACCATTTTTAGACATTTTCACTCAGAAGGACTCCAGACAGGTTTATGCATCAGGTCTTACAGTCATAGGGCTGTCTAACATTCTTTTTGCTGCTTTCACATTTAGCTTCTAAAAATTTGTTCTCCTGGATTGTTTATCTTCAGTTTCTCCTATTTTAATTAATGAGAATGTGTGTGGTTAAATTTTTCCAGTAAGGCAAATTTATTTTTATGCTACTCTTAAGTCTTCCCTGCATTAAAATACATGAGGATTTTTCCGTGGTCCTGGAATAATGTCAGAAGCCAAGTATAACAGTTTTGTGGAAATCACAATATTGAGGTACATCCTTAAAATTGGGTGGTATGAAGAGTCTTTCAAAGTGGGAACTATGTGCCTTCTTCTTATAATACTAGTGCTGCTAGCAACAGCTCAAATACTCAGGGAAACTGAGGAAGGAGTCATTTGCATTTACTATCCCCTTCTTTAAAACACATACTTTTTTCTGATTGTCCATATTTCATATAGATTTCCATACAGAAAAAAGTTGTGCAGTTACCAAAATCACCTCTTTTAAAGAGCAAATCACATTATGAACTCTGGAAATGCACTCAAAATACCAACATTTTAAAGACAAGAGATTAAAAAAAAAAAAAAAAAAGAGCCCCCATCATCATGACAAGTATATACATAAATAAAACAAAAAAATAACCCTGTTCAAACATGGTTGTGGTTGGATAGTCATACCATATTTCTTTCTCACCAATACAAGGTGAAAAACATGCACTAAAATTGTTGATTAAGCATGGGAGGTGATCAAATTCAAATTGATCTAAGCCTAATCTGTGGAAGAATCCAGAACAGTTCTCATGATGTTCTTCAAAAGCAAAACAAAGCTCTTGCCACTACTTCAGCTCACAACCATGCTTCAACGTGGCTTCCTAGAGCTGGGGCCACTGTGATGTGTTACCTGAATTATTCCAGTGATAAAAACACCACCAGATTAAAAAAAAAAAAAAAAAAAATCCAAACCAAAAAGGTAAACTAAATCCACCCTCCCCCGCATTAATTTTATCAGTAGCTTTTCCAGAAAAAAAACCCCAAGTCACATATACATACATATACACGCACACAGGGAGAGCTCAGGACTACGGACAACTTCTGGGATGGCAGCAGTAAGGGTGAGACAACACAAGATGTCAAAAGAAGCCACTGTGCTTCTCCAGCCCTTTGCTACATAATTTGGAGGCCTCTGCTACCCAGATGGCATTTGAGAGGAAAGAGGTGGGGGGAGATGTTTTCTGCCTCTTCCGGAAGGTTTGGGTAAACGAGCTCGCAAGTTGTGTGGGAATTGCAAAGATTTGAGTCCGGTGGCAGCAGCCGACGGCCAAAATCTGAGCAGCAAAGGGCGTGGAAGCGGAGAGAACCAGACAGGCAGAGAAAGACGGACAGACAGACAGACAGACACAGCGACAGAGATGAATGGCAGTCCCGAGTGAGGTGCAGGCCGGGTGCATGTCGTCCTTCCCGCGATCCTTGCTCCCTTGGAGGGGTGTGTGGTGCCCAGGGCTGTGCGGCAGGGCCTGGCGCTCCAGTCCCCGCGCAGGCGGCGCCGCCTGAACGAGGACTGCAGGACCACCGCTTCCCTGCCTTCGACACAGCGGTTCCGAGCCAAAGGGAACTCGTGGGGTTTAGTGTGGCTGGAGACGGGGGAGAGGAAAGCGAGGGAGAAAAGGAAGAAAGGCAGGGTGTGGGTTAAAAGGGAGGAGTGCAGGAGAGGGTGAAAGGGAGATTTAGGTATAGGCTTTCAGATATTCTAAAGAATGGGAGCAGGAGCCCATGGCAAATAATATGAAGCCTCTTGACACCAAAAGCGAGATGATTGTAAAAAAAGGCCTCATGCGGCTGATTTAAGCCTGAGTTGCTTTACATCAGAAATAAAATAGACTAAATGAGAAATCGCTGCACAAGTCTCCAAGTCTTGGGAGCTCAATGCTTTGGTATTTCTCTGGCCTTACTGCACTCAAGATTCAATTAAGCTGCAACCCTCTGCTGACTTCTTAACAGAACTCGGAAAACTTTGCAGAAGTGCAAGGTAAAAAAGTACTCAGCTCTCCTGAACACCTGATGGACAAACATCAAACCATTATCCATAAGGCTGGGGCAAAACAGACCTGACCAACATTTTTTGGGGAAGCAGCACACCAAGGTGGGGTTTGTGTTTCCCTAACCTTCATCACAGGGGGGCTACTTCCTGAGGCACCTATGTCTCCCAGATGCCAACACACAACACTGCACTCCCCTCCTACCTTCTCCCCCCTAAAACCCCCACCTTTTCCATCAACCCTCAAGCCACTCGCAATGTTCACTCTTAGGGAAACGTGTGCTGCTACAAAAGGAGGGCATTTTATGCATGGAAATATTTCATTATTTCACAAAAACCCTCAAGTCAGTGGTTCTCTACCCCTGACAGTTCTCATCTTCTCATCTCACCCCCTGGCTCATCACATCTGCTGCATTGCCTTGTGGACCTGTGCTGGGTAACTCCTCCTGCCCTGTGCCTCCTGCAGGGTTCACAGACACACTCAGGCACCGTGCAGCTGTGGCACTGAATGAACAGGCAGGGTGGAGAACTATCCAGATGGCTTTCTCAGTCATCCTCATGCACCCCCAAGCACAACTGACAAACACAGTGGCACCTGCACATGCAGACATGCTTAGAGGCACCAGCAGAAGCCCTCAGAGACAGGCTCACAGGAAGGCACAAACCCTCCCTCCCTGACAGCCTTTCCAGACAGACAGATGGAATCAAACACTCAACACCCCCACTGTCACTGTGCTGCTCTGGAGACACACGTGCTCCCACCTGGTCGTGCCTCTGGAGCTCCCACACATCTGCAGGCCATGAGCTGCCCTCTGCAGCTGGATGAGCCACCCCCAGAGGCTCCTCCAGCTCAGTGGGCACTGACAGGAGCATTGCTTTGCTGGCAAGTGAGGGCTGAGCCATGCAGTCTCTTTGGTCTGACACTGGCAGGGGAAAGGATGAAGGAAAAAGGACACTGTGGAGCAAGGAAAAGTCAGTTTTCCTCTCCAGCCAAGGGGAAGGAGGACAGCTTTCCCAGTGACTCAGGGTCTGACTGTGTTTCTTTCATTACTTTGGGCACTGTGGCACAGCACAAATTGAGCTTGATTTTCCCATTTGATACAGAGCAACAAACAATAATGAGAAACTTTCTCTGCCTGGAGGAGGGGACAGCAGGCTGTTAGTTACCTCTACAGTACTCAACTCCAGGCTCTGTCTGCTGGTGTGGAAAGGAAGGAAGTGCTTGGAGCTACTTCTGGGATGATATAATTCAAATCTGCTGGGTTTTTTTTTTCAACTCCTGTAAGATTTATTTCCAATTATAATAGAGAGTAATAATTTTTACCACCTTCACATTTTCTTCTAAGGAGCTTAAGGGTTTTGTAAACTCTAATAACAATACTTTTAAAACATAAGGAATAATAACATAAGGAACATAAGGAATAATAACAGTCTCCACTGATGGGAAGACTGAAGTACATGAATCTAATAAAAATCCAAGGAATATAATCTACAGACCCTACATCCCAGGCATGACACCATTTTTCATCTTAGTCTGCAAAAGTCATTATTTGTCATGAAGAGAGCTGACACATGGTAGAGGTGGTCTCTGCCTTGGAAGTTCTCTTTTTACGAAAGATTAAAAAGTCCTTTCCTCCCTCTTTAGTTACTTAAGAAGTGGCATAAGAGTGCCTCAAAACAGAAACACTGAATATTTAAAAATACTTTTGGGAAAAAAAAATAAATCCAAAGAGCTTCATTTTGTGGCTAGAAAGTTAATTGTACAGCAGACACGGAGAGGAAAGCTCTGAAAATGCAGCTTCATTTTCAGTGATGCAGTTTAGAGGTGACTGTGCCACCCTGAAGTTTGTAAACCCACCAGATTTTGACCTTCTCTGTGCCCTTTGCACTTCCTCAGTTGTGTGAGATGCCTCTGTGTGTCTGTGGAGCTCCTTGGGGGGACCTAGGAGATGTTCCCAGGTTGCAGGAAGCCAAACATGATTGTTTGGCTAAAACACCATGGAGGTGTTTTAGTGAAGGCTTCCTGAAGGACTCAGAAATGCTGAGGGGGGCCTACCTTGCAAGCACATGGCTTCCCACTATTTTGGAATGCATAGCCATGCTAATGTCTGCTGAGCTGGGCATGCACATGCACACTCACCCACGGGCATGCAGGGGAACATTCCTGCCTTCAGGAAACTCCCAGGCACACTCATCCATAGCCAGGTCCAGCTCTCACAGTGAAACTGTCACACACAGCAACCTCTGAATCCATCAACAGCCATTCACTGCAGAAATACACGTGAAATACTTGTGCTTGCATTCACACTCTTTTCCTCCCACACATGGATTTATGTCTGGATACTCCCCTGTGGAATTGTAGCCCATACAGACATCCAAACACGCTTAGGGACGTGGAGCACCATTAATGGAGTGCACACGCAAACACCCACCCATGCACACTCACATATAGCTTAACGAAGGTTTTGGTCTGGGAAATTCCTTTTCGAGAAACAAAAATAAATGTTAAAAGAAAAAAAAAAGAAAGACAAACCAGAACATGGGGAACTGCACAGACAAGAGCAAGCACATACCTACACACACACACTGTGGAGGCTGTCAGTCAGTCAGGGCTCTCCTCACAACTACAGCTCAGTGCCTCCTGGGTTTGCTTCCCCTGAGTGCAAACGTGTGGTGAACCTCACGGATTTCAAGCTTATGTGTCTATGGCTGCAGGTCAGACTGAGCTGGGCCAGGAATCTCCATCTTCCCTTCTAACTGACCACAGTAAGAACTGACCCTTCACTCCAAGAGCAGCACCTTCCAAGATCCTACCACCAGCACTCTTCAGCTTCTAAGGAGTTAAGCAGAAATATTTTACCTGCACCTGACCAGTCTAAACATCTCCTATTAGTGGAGCTGGTTGGCATTTTAGGGTTTATTGTTTCTGTCCTTTTCAGACCCCAGGTCTCTCAGAACAAGATAAGACAGTGTACAGAAACACAGGGCAGGGCTTTCTCAAAGCCACAGACAGCAAGGAAGCGACAAGCCCCTGAGGAGATGGGAGAAGTGTGTCTGATAAACTGCCTCACACTGCTTGGCAAGATGACAACCGTCCATTCAAGATGGGCTGCTACTTCCAAAGCCCATTTTCTACAGGTGTAACATATCAAGTGCTGCTAGCAGGGAGGGAATCTGACAGGACAAACCGACATACAAAACATTCTCTTATTCAATAAGGGTTATAAGTGCAAAGGGATTTCAGAACATTTCAGAAAAAACTCAATCCATAGCTGCCGCTTATTTATCAGTGCATCAAAAGGTTGTGCAAGTTTTTAGTAACAAACATTAGAAACTAGTAGCAAAGGACTTGCCTAGATAAAAAAAGAGGGTTTAAACATGCCAAGTAACAAAAAGATGTGTGCAGAGATCTGTAAAACTGTATAGAAGGAAAGGATTCTTTAGAGGAAACAGAGGGACCATCACATAATGCTCTTCACAGCCCTTACTAAAAGAGTCAGGGCCAACCCTGCTGCCCCCTCACCTAAGACAGGTGCTGGTTGTTTGGACAGAGGCATGCCCTCATTTTTCATAAGCTTCTGTAACCGAAAACTGGATTCTGGGCTTGCCTGACACGAACTTGAATTGAGACAGAGCCTTGTCTCTGGCAATTAAACACACCAGCACGGCCAGCCCTGGAGACTGAAGATCACAACAATCATCAGCAGACATGAGTGTCTCAGCAAGATGCTGAGAATGAATGTGATTTATACTGCTTAAATTTGATGTCTGGCAGCCGGGTGTCTAGACAAACCTAACAAACCTAGATGCTCACCAGTCACTGGTGGGCACCTCCAAATAACAATTTATTCCCCTGTCACAGACGTGGCCAGGGCGCCTGGGAGGGGAGCATCCCTC